TGGTCCCCATCTGGAAATCTTAACCCCCAAGATTAGTGTGTTGTGCCCACCCTTGCTAGCACTATCCCATGCCAGGGGAGGGGGTTCCTACCAGTACCACCATCTTCACCAGTCTGAAGCAGTGGCGTGCACAGTCTCAGAGATGGAAAAGGGAAACCCTTCATCTTTCTGTTGTGTATTTTTTGGATGGAGTCACTAAGTTCTAAGGAGAATTTGCCCTTGTGAGGGTAAGGACACATGCTGTAGCCAAGAAGCAAGACAACTAATAAGTTTGGGCCTCTGCTCTAGAATTAGGTCCCTGTTTATCCAATGTCTTTATCCCTAACCATGTGATTGATGGGCCTGGCATCTCTCAGATCCAGTACCTGCAATCTGAAGTAGGATATTTTTTTTTAAAATCATTTCTCCATCTCCCCAATTCCATAGCCCAGAGCACTGAAGGCTGGTGCACCAGGATAAGCAAATAGTAGTGTAGATTAGCAGTTGATGCTATTATGTGCAGTCTTTTTTTAGCTGAAGAATTAAAAAAAAAAGGGCACAGAAAATAGGACCAGCTTAATTTACCCTCAAAGGTATGCTCTTCTACCACCACATCATCTTTTGCAAATGAGTAGTTCAGCTTAGCTCTCTGCAGTCCCCTGAGGGTTGGAAGAGAGAAAGGTGGGTCCCACCTTTCCTGTGCGTTCACCCTCACAGTGTTCCTGTGATTCCATCCTTTTGTCTTTTTTGGATGTTTCTTGCCTTCTTCCTTTTTAGTCAGTTATTTTACTGATATTCTTAAGGTCTTCTCCCTGTCTTACCCTCAATTATTTCCATGAAAATGCATTGTACTGTTTTATATATAAATGGAGGAAAACCGCCAGGGTTGATGAGAGCTAATGTTGAATGTGGATGTTTTTTTTTTTTTTTTTTTTTTTTCTTTTCTTGACCAGAAATGTTTTTGGTTGTTTTGCTTTACCACCCACATGGCATGTGGCACACAGAGGGGCTTGTGCTACTGTTTTGTACAACTCATCATCATCTCAATATCTCTTCTGAATTCCTTCAATTTCTAAACAATGAGTAGTAGTTGGCTTGCCTACTGGTTGTCTAACACTGGGATAGGTACCCTGGGCAATTAAAGTCGGACTTTGTGGGATCTGGTGTTTTACTTGGAAAGACAACTTGCTCCCATGAAACAAATTAGAGAGTTGCATAACATTTATATAATCTAGTATTAAATTTGTGGCTTGCAATTCATGGCAAGGTTCTAGAAGACAGGGAGTAGAGCAATCCGAGGGAGACAGTTCAGAAAACCAATCAAGTTCCAATTATTTTTGGATGGCTCTGTGGTAGATATTTTAGGCTCTCACGATCCTTTTATTTAATCACAGAAATAGCAAAGAGGATGCATACTAAGGTATTTAATTGACCTTATTTTAAAAAGTATAACATTGAGATTGCAGAAGCAGCAAAATATATTCTAGGCAATGGTGTAGATTATAGGGTTAGTGGTAGGCAGAAGAGTCAAGACTGGGCAGTTACTCTACTCTTACTGCTCAAAAAATAGAGAGTTATTATTCAGTGGTGGTGACTGGGCCTCAGTTTTCCCATTTGGAAATGAAGCATCTATGTTGCATTTTCTTTAAAATCAATCATACAGTCCCTTTTCTCTAGAATATTTTCCCCAGAATCCCCACCCCCACCAGAGTCTGAAGTGGGCAGAGATCCAGGTAGGAGGCAGTACCTTGCTTTTTGTTCTTTCCTTTGGACCACACCTGGCAGTACGCAAATACCAAGCCCACCTGTAAAAGGATTCTTAGAACATCACCAAAATAATTTAGTCACAAAATTGGCTCTCCCTATTGCATCTCCAGTCAGCACCTTTTCATTCTCAAGTCCTCAGGCTCTAGTATTTGCTACAAACAGGAAGTATATACTACAGCACCTTCCAGATAATCACATGGAGTGTTAGTTTTCAGGGATACTAATAGATGTCTCACGCCAGATGAGAGAATGAAATTCTTTTTATCCCATTAACTTTGGTTATCAAATGAAACACATTCAACTTATCCTTGTATAACTTTTAAGGCCCCATCATGCCTTGAGTCCCTAGGATTCGGTGTTTTACATGCCGCAAACTTCTGTAGCTGCAGAACCCTTGTTCTTAGGGAT